ACTCATCAGAAATAATAAAGTCTGTCAAGCTATCTCAAATGCTCACCCAGTTGAAAAGAATATGAGCTTGAGAAATTATTTTTTAAAACATTCTGGAAGAGGAATTTACCTTTTCCTGATGAGACCTTACAGTGCAAGTCCACGTGGTGCGCCTTTTGGCCATGGATCACTCTGGTCACAAGGCTTGTTGTAGCAGGGCAGATGGTCATGCTACTTGGAGTTTTCCACTCATTTGATGTTTCCATGAAGAAACAATTTGCCAGAAGCCAGCCACAGCTACAGTTGCGCTGGAGATGATGCTAAACTCTGATTAGCACAGACCTTTGCTTCCAGAAGCTGCAGGGTATTGGTTCAGCCCTTTCTGTTGAACCAGTGTTTCCTGGGATTAGTAAGCTAAGGGACAACTTAGTCTTTTCACAGTTGGCATGGGGCAGAGTTAAAAAAATAACAATTACAAAAAAAAAAAAAACAGCACAGAAAATGGGCATTTCTAATTTTTGTTTGCCTCAGTAAAACCCAGCTGCATTTTAAATACCAACAGGTTACCTCAGAAAACTATTTTCTTATAGATCGGCTAGGATTGTGCAACTATCAGAATCTCTCAGTTAGAGCTGACTTGGTCATTTTTCTTTCTATTCAAATTTAACTGCACTTACCATGTCAATAAATTATGAAATGACTGACACTGCTGAATAAACTGTATCACCAAAAAACAGATCTGTGACTCCCCTTTAGCAAGAAAACCCCCATCCCAAGGACAGCGGTTCCAGCTCTGCCTCACAGGCCCAGCGCTAAGGCCTGGGAAGGCCTCGCAGCCTTCCCGCTCTGTCTGCTCTGACGTCTCTCCGTGTTTTCATCCTGGGGCCACATCACTACTTCCCGTGGTTGCCTGGAGTGTTTTGCACCGGCAGGTCAGCTACTGAACACTTTCACTGCAGTGACTCCACGTGTTAATTTGCTAACCTTTTTGTAGTTTGGAAGTTGATCATTTGGGGAAATATTTTCCCATTGTGATCCTCTCACCTTTACCAGTGGTTCTGCCATTGGGATCCTTATAGCCCAACAGCGCATTGACAGAGAGCATACCTGTGTAAAAATGATCATTACTGAGCACTAACTCTGTATAAAGTAGTATTCGGAGCTCTTAGCATGCATTTGCACCTTCTAACATCCTTATTAAGTAGAGTTATTACCCCATTTTATGGATGAAGGAACAGAAAAGGAAGCAAAGAAATGTACCTACCAGAATACTGGAGAGTGCTGTTGTCTGCAAAAATCATTATGGAGTCTGAACCTGGGAGGGACCTAAAGATTGTGCAAACTTGCTTGTGACTGTGGTATCTTATCAGTCTACCCTTTTAAAATGTTTTAAATATTCAGATATGTGTATGTGAGTAAAACACAGCCCTACCTTAAAAATTACTGAAGTCTTGGGGCGAAAGAGATAAGTTAACAGTCATCTTAAAGAAGGAAAAATAGCTGTAGTGGACATTATCGGGAGAACTGGCAAAATTTGAATATAAACCCATTTATGTAACTGTGTTGCATCAATTTTAATTTATGTGACTTAGTTGCACTGTAGTTACATGAGAAAGCGCTCTTATTCTTACAAACTGAAGTTCTTACACTGGGGTAAAGGGGAACACTTCATTTTACTCTCTGGTTCAGGAAGAAAAATGTATAAAGAGGATTTTTAAAATGGGCAAAAATGGGGCACTCCCTGGGGGCACAGTGGGTTAAAGCACAGCACTACGAAGCTGCCACAGCTGCTTCCGCACAAGTTTGATCCTCCAACACGGAGGTGACCACATGGCGGCAGACCTCTGCTGTCTCCCCCCCTGCTCCCCTCAGCAGTGTGCTTCATCAATCTGCAGGTTCTGCTCCCCACTCTGGTGACTCCTCTCACCACCTCTGCACCTCTGGCCTGTACCCCAGTTGTATGCATAAATAAATAACTCTTTTTTTAAAAATGGGCAAAAACATAAATAATTTGTCACCTGTAATGGAATGCTACATATTATGCAGAGAACTTTTCTGTTTGAAATTATACTGAGTTATACAGAAATGAAGACGGCAAACAGGAAATGAAGGTGTGACATTCTAAGATGTTTTTATGAGTCAGGTAAAAGATTGTTTCCTGTGCTCTGATTTTTTTTTTTCTCCTATCTGGGGTTAGAGGAAGGAACTTTAAACAAAACAAACTCATCAAAAATAGCTTGAGTTTCTCAAGTTTGAAATTTTAGTCTGTCTGAGTTCCCTAACTCTCCAGACTCAAAAAGAAAAAAAAAGGGGGGGGGGGCAGAGAGGGTAAAACACTCATGCCTCTAAAAGGTGAGATATAAAGACAGCCCACTTTTGCTAAAACTTCAAGTTAAATTGAGCCAGTTCTATCATTTCCCAGCCTAACAACCCAGTGGCATCACTGGCATGGGTTTTGAGTGTTTGTTGTTGCTTCTTTTTTGTTTTATGTCAGAAGCCAGTGACTCTACTGTTAAGATTACCTGGCCCACACCCACCTGTCTGACCTTGTCTCGTGTCATCCCCTTCAAACCGGTGCCCTGGAGCCACATCCAGATCACGTGACCTTTGCATGTACTGATCGATTAGTTGCTTTCCCTGGCACGCTCCCGTTCTTTCCCTGCTGAAATTCTGCCCATCCTTTGTTTCCATACCCTCCTGTGGGCAGCCGCCTCTGATGTCAGAACTGACGTTTCCCTGTGCTGTTGTATCAGTGGGATAGCATGATGCTCTCAGCTTTGTTCAGCAGTTCGTACTCAGCATGTACCATGACGTGGAAACTCCCAGCGACTGGACGGGCAAAGGCTCTCATGGCCTAGGAGCTAGGTGTGACTTGTAAACAGATAATCGTAAGATAATTGTAACAGAGAAATGAACAAAGTACTCAGCACTATGAACTCTGACAGCTATGTCTTAGAGAAGAGACCGAAAGAAGATACCTCCAGCCACCCCCCGCCAGGCCCCTTTCCAGATTGGAGACTTCCAGCACAATAATCTAATTTAAGGAATGAGTTTAAGACAATCCTAGTTGAATGTGGGCTACTCAGGTAGATACAGTTAATGTAAAGCTAGGAATACAAGCCTAGAACTTAGGCGAGGGGGCGAAGTCTGGGTCTCAAACTGGACAGAACAGTGGTTTTCTGGGTGCACAGGCAGGCGGACTGAGGGCAGAGCAGGAGCTGCTGCTGTCGTGTACTTTTTCTAAATGACTCATTTTCTTCATTGCCCAGGATTCTGCTTTTTCTTCCCTCTCCAACTTTGGTCTCATCTTTCCTTGCTTAAGAATCGTCCTAGGAAGCAGAGACAGTGTCAGGGCTCTTAGGTTGTGGGTGAGCCAGCGGGAAGCAGGAAGCAAAGGTGAGACGCACTGGAGGTGAAGCAGCTGAGTGTTTGGGTGCGACTGAACCCACCCAGAAAGGGGAAGAGGAGAAGGCTGAAACCCCTGGGGGACCACGCTGTGAAGGGTGAGCAGGGAAGGAGGAGCCAGCAGCAAAGACACATGGCGAGGAAGGGAGACCCAGGGCCGAGGCGGCGGAGGTGCAGAGCGAGTGGTGGGCACCAAGCTCCGTGCTGCAGACACAGGTGGGGTCTCGGTCAGGTTGCAACGCTGGAAGCATGCAGTCCACGGTGATGGCCGGGTCCCCTAAAACGTGGTGGGAGAGGCTGGCGGTAGTGACTTCAGCAGGGTCAGGAGTTGAGGAGGTGGGCGTAGCACATACAGGCTGCTCTTTGTGGCAAGTCGGAAGGATGGTCCAGGACAGATGGAGAAGCAGGTGGAAGGAATGGCAGAATCCACCTAGCAGGTCCTCGGTTTCTTCAGGATTAGAGGGGGGTCTTGAGCAGGTATTGCTGAGGGAAGGAGCCCTGTGGAGAAGTTGAAGGGAACTAGTGTGTTAGCACTGCTGAAAAATTCTTGCTTTGGTGGGAACTTCTAGAAAACCATGTCTTACCTAAACCCCTCTGGTGACTGGCATGCACAAGTGAAGATTTTGCTTTGTCATCTTTCCTGATTCCTATAGTTGAATAACAAGAAAAGCTGTTTTCATCCTATAGTAATTAACATTCTGCAGTGAGCTCTAAATAACACAACACATATGCCATTTGCATTCTTGAAATAAAAGGAAAAATCCAAGTGATGTAATATTGAGGTAGTAATAATCACAATCATTTTTTCTGTGCCCGATAGGCTTTTCTTAAATTGCATTTTGGCATCTTGGAATTATTATGCCCAAAGCACTCTGCCCAGTGGGCCCGGGGCACATTTCACCTAAGGAGACAGACACACATTTAAACTGTCCCTATGAGACAGACCCTGTTTCCTCATTTAGCAGGGCGACACTGTCAGCTCCATGCCCTGGGGTTGAAATTAGTGGTTTTTTAAAAGACAGCCCGTTGATTGTCTTCTAGGTCAGCTTTTGCACACTGTAAATATTTCTGATATCAACAGAGACCGACTTGACATAGAAGTACTCATTCTGGGTAACTTAATTTGAGAGATTATTCGGAAAGAACAAGATGCTTCAGGGAGGTAGAACCAGCTCGAGCAGACCATATTCAGGCTGCAGATGGCAAGTGCATCAGTGTGGGTTTTGTTCCGCTGTGCCAGTTTCAGTGTTTAGACCAAAAACCCAAAACAAATATGTGAAGGCAGTTCTGGTCCACATTCTCCCTCCCGCTGCTTGTAAACTAGTGCGCGTATTGATGTCATCTCGTTTTGTGTGGTCCCTCTGTTTCCCCAGCATCTCTAGACAACTTCTTGTCTTTTTTTGGCGCTCTGTCATCGCCAAGGAAATATGTAAAATACGCCAAGCAATTGAAGTTAGTAGAATCAGAATCTGTTTGTGAGGACTACGATAAATTGATTCGACTGTTGATTTACCTTTCCAGGAGAAAATTGCTTCATGTCTTGAGAATCAATTGGAGTATTATTTGGACTTCGTGGTTCTATCTCTGTGCTCTGTTTTTGTTCTTTTTAACAGTAAATGCCTGGGAGACGTCTTAGAACTTTAAAAGCGGAAAAGCCCCACTCTTAGGGGACAGTGCTGGGGGACACGATGAAATCCTGGAATGATAGCCAGTCGGATCTCTGCAGCAGTGACCAAGAAGAGGAAGAAGAGATGATTTTTGGTGAAAATGAAGATGACTTGGAAGAGATGATGGATTTAAGTGATCTGCCTACCTCACTTTTTGCTTGCAGTGTCCATGAAGCAGTGTTCGAGGTACAAGAGCAAAAGGTAGGCACCCCTCGAGCCCCCCGCGTCCGGAGGCTAGTGACGGTATGTGGGTTCAGGCAGACAGCCTGTTCACAAAGGTTGTTGCTGATGGGTGAGCAGCACAGAAGCCATATGTCAACCTGTAGACATTGCGACGGCAAATTTGTTGCATTTTATGAGTGTCAGTTTAGCACAGGTATGGAGTTTGAAAACCAGTTTTTCCCCACGGATAGTCTGAGAAGAGCTGGTTTATGGCAAACTCTGAATAGTCTTATAAAGTCCATTCATTCACTTGTTCAGTCTTTCATTTTTAGAACCTGTAGTTAAGTAGAAACTAATGAACTTGGCTTCCTGTTCAGAGTAAATTCACAAAAGAAGGAATTATTTTACATCTTCTTTCTGGGGCCAGTCACATAATTTGGGCTGTTGATGGTTTCCTTGTAATAGAATGATTAACTTCTCTTGGATTACTTTTTTACATCGTCCCTTGGAGGGGTGTTACTGAGTTATTTGTTGTAGTTCACTGTCCTTTAGTTCATTTATTATTTACCTGGAAAGAGAGAGGTTTAGCGTGTGGTTTTTTTCCATGATGACTTCACACACACAAAAAAAAACCCTGTAGGTCTTAGTCCTACAAAAGTAAAATTCTCCTGCCATCGCTGTTGATTTTGCATATTCTGAGAGTGTTTCTCAAGACGCTGTCGCCAGCCCTGCAGTGTTCTGTCTGTGCATGCCAGTCCTCCCAGTGACTGCTGGACCCTGCTCAGGGCCGTGTCTCAGCCTTGCTTGTGCGCCCGGCGGAGAGCTGGAAGGAGGGCAGCCTCTGCCCAGGCTGTTTCCCTCCTGCAGCAGAGAAGCTAGAAAGGAGCTTGAAGGAAGATGGAGCACTGGTGCCTTTAGAGATGCTTGAAGGTGCCTGAGGTGGCAGGGGAAAGAGGGTCCTGCAGGGAGGTGGCTGCAGAGAGGAGCTGAGGGGAGTGAGCAGTTAGGGGAGAGAGGGGCCCCAAGGTGGCACTGATTCAGGAGAGTGTGGGGTGCAGCAGAGGGTGGCAGTTCTGTCTGCTGGCTGATGTGCAGGGGCCGAGGAGCCAAAGGCAGGCAGTTGGGCTGGGAAGGTGAGCGTGGGCAGCCTGCAGAGTTCAGAGCTGGCCTGCCAGGGGGGAGCACCCTTGGACCTGAGCAGAGATGCCCAGGACTCCACTTCAGGGAGATCCAGCCTCAGCCTGTGGGAGCAGAGGTGGGAGGCACCGTGGGCCAGGTAGGCGCTCCTGCTGTTAACCTGTGAGATGCAGCAGGCCCTGGCGGGACCCTGAGCGCATCGGTGAGCTCAGTCATAAGGTCAGAATTGGAACCATCTTTCTTTTTAAGAGTCTGAATTTTCACATAATAACTAATTAACCTTGTTTACTTATTATCATGAGAAATCACATGTAGTATTGCTTTATCTTAAATTTTATAAGAATTCTCCCAAGAAAGCTCATAGTCTGTTCCAACTTTTAGTTTTTTCACTTTCCAAAGCAGTTGAATTTTTGTTGGTTTTCATTTAAAAATGCATTTGGGATATAGCTAATCTTCTGCAGAAATTGTGGTATGTAGTTCAACAGACTTTATATTATATACAATTCTTAGTCATAGTAAATTTTATATAAAAATCTTAGTGGCAAAATATAACAACATTTATATGTGGAACATCAATTGGAAAATGTTGGGGAAATCAAATGTTCCCTTTCACATTTGTCTTTTTTCATTATCTTATTTTGCTTTAATTTCTCTGGGAATAGCCTGTTGGTGGAGATCATCCACATGTGTGCAAAATCAAAACAAACAAAGAACCCACTTCTGATGGATTATAGGCATAACAATTCTGCTTGCAATGAAATCTTTCATTTTCAAATGAATTTTAAGTTTTTGTCTTGTTTCCTGGTTTGAAGAGAGTTTTGTCTTTTTAATTTAAAAGTTGTTGGGTGGGCATTTATCCTCTCCTGCTAAGGGGACTCAGTATACAGGTACCAGTTTATATGCAGGTGAATCTTCATTTCAGATTGTGGAGTTTGGGCTGTACGTTTTCATCAGTGTAAATGCAGTGTGCAGATATAAGCCGTAGGAAAAGTAAACCATGGCCCTGCCTGGTGGTACAAGGGTTAAGTCTCACACTGTGAAACTGTGCCAGCCTCTGCAACACCAGTTCCATCCCCAGCCAGGGAGCTGACCCACATGGCGAGGCAGACTTCTCCTGTCTCCCCGCTGCTCCCCTCAGCAGGGTATGTCATTACATCTGTCTATTCTGCTCCCCACTCTGTCTCTGGTGAATCCTCTCACCACCACCCTCCCTCCCCCCACACCTCTGGCCTACACCCAGCTCTTGTATGCATAAATAAATAAAATAAAGCTTTAACTAAAAAAAAAGAAAGGAAAACCGAGAAAAGGCTTGTTTCCACCTGCATTTCTGAAGCTCCTCTGAGCTTCAGCACCCCTTGCCAGGTCTCCCTCCCAGGTGACCCCCCTTACTCCCCACTTTGACACCAAAGCCTGCTCTAGGCCCCTGAAGCCCCCCATTGCCCATCAGCGTGGACACATCTCACTTGTCCTCGCCTAAAGGCTTTTTGAACTAAATGTACAGGAAGAGGAAGACCCCTTCTTCTATTTAAAGGGACAAATAGTACACGCAGGTTCCTTCCTGGGGTTATTTCTGACAGTCTTCGAGTTGATGTGTCTCTGGAAAGATGGGCCCTTAAGTACTCTTTATCCTCTAACGTCCAGAAGGAAAACAAACTGTAACTTGGAATAAACCAGACGAACCATCATGTTCTTGTTATAGCCGCAGCACCCAGGCCTGGCCTTCCTGCCTGAGGCCGTGAGCAGGTGAACGGTGAGAAAGAGCTGAAGACGACATGCCGGTGCACACAGAGCCCCAGGCGGAGACCAGAGGGCTGGGTAGACTCCCCAGGTTACTGTTGAGCACTGGGCAAGCCCAGGGATCCAGCCTTTCGATTCTGTGCATGACTGACCCCAGTGAGGAAGAATCTTGTCTTGCTGCGCCACATTTTCCATACGTACTTTGATAGCTCCGCGTCAGCCGTTTCCAGTTTTTTTATGTGACTTCTCATGCGCCTGTGCTGGTTAGCACCATGAATACATGCACAGTAAAGCATTTTCAAGACCTTCAGTTGCTTTTAAGAAATAACACACAGGCCCTCCATGGTGGCACAATGGGTTAGAATGCAGCCCTGGAGCTGACCCACATGGCACAGCAGACCTGTCCTGTCTCCCCACTGCTCCTCTCAGCAGTGTGCTTCGTTGATCTGCCAGTTCTGCTCCCCACTCTCAATGGTGAATCCTCTCACTCCGTGCACCTCTGGCCTGTACCCCAGTTCTATATGCATAAATAAATGAATCTTTAAAAAAAAAAAAAGAACTGATACACAAAACAAAAATAAAAGCACAATTAAAAAACCTCTTACATGAAAAAAAAATTCTTTTTTCATTTAACATAAAATCCCAGCTGCCCTCTTCGCTCATAGCAGAGCGACCGTGTTCTCAGCTTCAAAAGATGGGAGTCACAGAGGAGCTTCTGGACACTCGGGGTGCCGGACACTGATCTCTCTCCCAGCGGTGCTCCGTGGTGTCCAGGGCACTGGGAAGGGCCTGCGCCCAGGTGACTGCCTCTGCGAAGCCTCTGGACTACGAGAGGGCGGTCGGGGAGGGCAGCGCCTCATTTTCCATCGGTGACCTCTCTGCGTTTGCTCACCTGTTCATGTGGTGTCACCACTGTGCATTCACCCCCTTTCTGGGGTCCACGTCATTCCGAAGAGCAGCCGTTCTGGGGGCACAGGCGGGCTGTGGTAGAAGCCCCGCCCTGTGCCTTACTAGCAGGCGCTGTGCCCTGTGGCCTGGCTCAGGGTGCTGTCCCTGTGCACATGCTGGCCTGGGGCCCGGAGCCCTCCTATCCTAAGGCAGCGGTTGAGGAACTAAGGACTGACAGCGAGGTGGCTACCTGGCCTCCCGTCCCACGGCTGGACGACAGACCCAGGAGCCAAAAACCAGTCTAGCTCCGGGCTTCTGTTACTTGAGCGGACAATGGCCAGCAGAGACCACCAGACCTCCTGAGGCTGCCTGTGCAGATGGTAGAGCCCAGAGGTTTCCCTCTTGTGCTCTCACATTTGAAGACACGAACCCTCTGTTACTAGGTACAAAAATGAGCATTTGGGCCACGTGAAGACCAACAACTGGAAAGCTTCTAGTCTTCAGGAATCACACCCCGCTCTTCGATGCAGACGTGGGTTTGCTCCTCAAGGTCCCGTCACCAGAGTCACAGGAAAGACACCGCCATGTTGGCGACCTTGTCTCTTGCTATGAGGACATTGGAGCATCCTCAGATGGACTCATTGTGCCCCTGAGTGTGTGAAGCCCATGGCCGGATGTGAAGGTCAGGCTGAACCTGGGCCTCCCTAGCCCTTCCTGCTTCACGGCACAGAGGCCAGGAAGGAAGGGGAGGGTCGAGGGAGCCTGCCGGAGGGCGCCCTGCGTCTTCTCCGGCAGCCAGCGCAGACATGTCTCGCTGGCCCTGAAAACGGAGGCCTGAGCACACAGGACAGCAGCCTGGGGACTGAGAGGCTTCCCTGAGGAAACTGACATGGTTTTCAGGGGAGCCTGCCAGGTGGGGTCCCTCCCCTCTGCTGTCTTAGATCACGCCTGTGTCCAAGCCCAGTGTCTGGATGAGTTTGCAAACCTGATGTGTTTCATGGGCCGTTTTGAGTATCCGGATCAGATTATTTCCCACCTGTCATCTCTCTTCCCGCCTCATCATGGTGCCCGTCATCAGCACACCAGCTCAGCGGTGTCTAGAGGACACTGTTGAGCAGGTCAGAAAGCCCTGCCTGCTCTTCCTCCAGGGGACCTTGTCACCTGCACCTCTGCTCGTCTGTTCTCAGTAGACAACCAAACAACCTCCAGGCCGGAGAAAAGCGGTGCAGCTGCTGGTCCTGTCAAGAGCTAGGCTCTCCATAGAAGTGGTCACAGCT